CACATTATACATGCATGCTGTTATATCATATTTATTATACATTTAAAAAGATTATATTATTCAAATTATAAGCATCTAACAACATAGAAAATGATGATGAACTATAGATCTAAAATCAGAAAAACGAAATTGACTTTGAAAAGAAAAAAGCTGAATAAAAATAAGGAGACTGGGCTAGCATTATTCAATTTGACTATAGTATTTTTCTTTTTACAAATTATAACTCACCAGAAGGGAATGGCTATGCGTAAGACCGGTTAAAAAGGTGAAAATAAACCTAAAATGTTTGATTTGAATTAAGTGTTAGATGAAGTGTGAGGTGCGGCAGTACAATTAATAAGTACAAAATTAGTGATCACTAGGCTATGTTTGGTAAACAAATAAGCTAACTTATAGCTTATTTGATTGGCTTATAAGCTCCCTATTTTTAAATAAGCTCTGTTTGGTAGGACGATCTTTTTTAAAAAACTCGAGCTTATTTGATAAGTTATTTGGTAGGATGATCTTTTTTAAAAAACTCGAGCTTATTTGATAAGCTTCTTTGGGTAGCTTTTCAAATAAGCTCATTGAAATTTTTATTCCAGCTAGCTTATCACCTAATTTTACCAAACATTTTTATCATATAAGCTAGCTTTTCAGCTATAAGTCATAAGCTATAAGCTCAAAAATTACTGATAAACTATAAGCTAGCTTATCAGCTAGTTTTACCAAACATAACCTACGTAGAACCGTAAAAGTCAAAATGCAATAAAAATAAATAAAAACCAACAAACATAAATCGATTGATATTCAAAGCTATTCAAATTTCCAAGTAATCATTCATTGTTCAGAGACTATATTCAAACATAAATCTCCCTGTAAATTGTAATATTACCTCATATTTATGCTGACATCACACATACATTCAACTTCTAATTCCCTATTCTATATTAGTGTTCCAATTCAAATTTTAGTTCATTGAAGCGTGTGTGTATATAATAGCGACATCATTATGAATACATGTCATTCATGCAGTTGAATGAATGAAACATGAATAGACATACAATTTTCCAATCTGAAACCGGACCTCATTTCACAATAGCTTATTTGTAATCCAATAATTTCCTACCAATAAAAAGATAAATAAATAGATAGATAAAAATCAAACATTAGCATGTTTTTCCCGATATATACATAAAATTTTCTAATCCAATATCCTCCAATTCGACGGTGTCATTTTCATAAAAAAACTTCACGGTCATTGCATTTGTTCTATCTTTCTAATCCATTAGAAGTCGTTACAAGCCATGCTATGTGTCCTAGCTGATAAGAGATCACGCTACTGTCAAAAAACCAGTTATGGTAGATTTTTCACCCTACGGTAGAACAACACATAAGCTGCCGATGTCTTTATTTCAGACTCGTTTATGGGCGAAACGTATGCATCATTAAAGTCATACCATCTGTCCTCATCTATTAACTGCAGAAAAATAGGAATTAAATTTGGCTGTGTTCATTCGAAAACAAGAAAAAAATACTACTGGCAGGCAGCAAAATTAAGCAGAGACGCGCATACGAATTTTCAGGTTAAGGAAACAAAAAAATAAATAAATAAATATTACTAGGTAATTGTTTATACTCATATGTTGTCTATAAATACACTAATATACGAAAATTGTATGTAGCTAGCTTATTAGCCCATTTATAGGAAAACGATAATGCATCATGTATAATTTGTTACCAACTTTAATCCAGTTGCATAATAACGAACATTAATTTTGCTTATGATTTCTATATCGAGCGTTAGAAAACTGTTTAAATACGAACATTCATATAGATAAATGTAAAACTGAATGCAGCTCAAAAAGATTACCTTGCAATATGCCGTATAGTGTCCCCCACCAAGGCCCCCATAATGATTGCTGATGGCATAAAGCTCATAGACATGCGAGCCACTTGTCATGCCATCACCACTCTTCACATATCTGCTCAAATCAAGGTTTTGAATCGGAAAGTTGACAAACTTGTCGAGTTTGTTCGTCAGCCATCGGCTATGAGAGAATCTTTTCAGGTGAAAGACAAGTATATCCGGCAGCCTCCATAAATCCAACTTTTTACTTGCTTGTCTATGTTCCTTGCACCGAGGACAATACCTTCATGCATTGATTATTCAATAACACAAGAAAACGTAAGAAAGGAAAAAAATCCAAATTGCAGTGTTTGTTTACAAAATATTTCACTCACATTCAATTCATACTCAGAATTTAACTTCAACTTTAACTCAGCCCCACTATCCTTATATTATTCATATAATTAAATAATACAAACCAATCAATCTTACACATCACATCAACTTTAATTCATTATTCATCCACTAACATAATTTTAACTAACTATCACTTCACATCATGTATATCCTACTTTTCCATCAAATCAACTTTAATTATTTTATTTTAAATATTATTTAAACATAAACTCAAAATCTTACTACCAACTAACTATACCACTTTTTTCAAAATTAACCTAAGTTAACCAAAAAAATTCATTTTGAGCGGATTAATTAGTAAACAAGCATGCTCTTTAGAGATGTCCACATAAAACTCAAAATATTTAAAAACGTGTATGACCGTACCACATATCATCAGGACTAAGGGGCTCCTCCTTTAGAAACGCATCCAAGCACGAAAATAGAGAGACGGTCTCCTGCTTCATTTTCTTTGCTTTGTGCACCTCAGGTAGATCCTTTAGGTAGCTGGCATCATAGAGCTCGTGTTCCTTTTCAGTCCAGTCAAGCAAAACTTTGACTATACGACCTGGCTTTATGGGTGAGTTCTTCACTATAGGCCAGCAGCCATAACCCATATCATTAGTAATGCAAAGCTGGAAAGATGATTCTCGGTTTGAAATGCCCTTTGGCTCCATTTCCTCTCTCGATTGGAGGAATTCATGTTCCGGCTCAGTGCCTGAAATCTCCATTTGATCTCCCATTGCATGATTATCATCATCACAGCCATTTTCTCCATTGCAGTGGATTGTTGTTGAAGTAAGAAATGATTTCCTTCTTAGAGGGGAGAGCACTCGGTCTACGGCAATATCAATATCAGCTCCAGATTGTGGGGGGTCCTCCAAGTAAGTAACTAATGGTGTTAGAAACATCTTCCGTTCACTAATTAAAAAAAAAAAAAAAAAGTTGGTATTATCACGTTCAGCAAGCCAAGTAATAGGTGGAAATTGAATCAGAAAATATCATTGTTAGCATAACATTAGGCCATGGGATAATAGTACAAGAAATTATCACTATTTTCTTGATCTGTATGTAATCATGCAACACCAACTGGAAATACGGTGAATTCTTTTACGGTTTTACCTAGTTTATATAACTATTTTTTAAGTCTTCAAGAACTACAACATTAATGTCTAGATATATAGCATGGCACTAAATCAATTCAACTAATCAGACTTATTGCTACAGACCTATACGTACACAACCACTCACTTTCTTTCAAAATGCTTACCAGGGAAGAAATAGAAAGTTAATCACAATTACGCAATCAATGCAAAATGCATGCTTGTCACAAAGCATTGTATGATCTAGACAATAATGTAAAAACTTAAACTATTACATGATTTAAATTTTAGTCTAGAACATGAATAAGCATAAAGAGAAGCAGCCCACACAACATAACATCATAATGACTAAAACTATGTACATAAAAATAAGACAAAAAAAGCTCGCCAACCAAAAAGCAAATAACTCACATTTCCTGGTACCGGTGGCATATCTCTATTCTTGTTAGATCCGTGTCTTTTTTGAAAAGCCTATATGCAACAATATGTTCCTCGTCCTGAACTTTAGCCAAAGCTTCCGATGGATTTTCCAGGTACCGATATATTCGGTGTCTATAGACCTACCGATAAATGACCCAAGTCTCAAGGTAACTGGGATAAAATATATAATGAAAAACCGTGACATACAGAAATAATACATAATAAACACAAATAATAGTGACCTCAGCAAGAAGCAAGTATTCATCACTGCCTAAACTGCAAGCAATGCCCAAAGCCTTGATAAGATCTTTGCAGCATCCTTCCTTGAGAACTGTAACAGTGACAGGCATAGGAAGGCCACTTCCATCACCATAGAAAACCGTTATTGTCATTGACCGAGTAGCACTTGAAGGAAGAGGCAAGGAGAGATACATGAAGGGATCAAAAGTTATTGAAATCTTGTTGCAAACAGGGCAAATCAGCGTCGATTTGTATTGTCCCTGATAAAAATTAACACCCATTAGACAGGTATCACAAAAAGATAGATAAAAAGAGAATCAAATAAAAGCAAATGTATCAACATTAAAATTCAAGAAATAACATATATTACAACAGTGGTAGATGGAAACTCAGTTTCCGAAAACTTCCAACTAATGGAGAGCAATTTGATAAACAGAAACCATCTACATGGGCTTTATTCAAGTTCCCAACGAATTATAAGAGACTTGCAATGACTTCCCAGAAGAGCAGCAATTGAACAAATAGCTTCAGTTAGTAAAGTATTAGAAAGAAAAAAAAAAAGAATGTAAGTCATCAATCCCATTAGTAAAGTATTAGAGAGAAAACAAAGAGAGAGAGAGAGAGATGTAAGTCATCAATCCCAATTAAAAAATCTACCAATTAATACTAACAGAAAATGTATAATATAATTAATATTTCAGGCAGAAACAATTATTATATTCATCCACACACACACACACACACACACAAGCACTAATAAATTAACATGTCAGGACTTAACAAATCTTCAACTAAAACAAATACCGGTTTTCTATATAATACCTTTGAAAAACTCATCCAAGCACAAATATTTTACTGAAACTTTGAGATGGAACTATCTTCCATTATGCGTAAAACACAAACAAGACAGCGCAAGTAACCTGACAAGTATCGACAATTATCGAATCATTTCTGGCTTTGTGATATCTCCAAAACTCGTCTGCAACTTCTTCATTGGGTTGACCGTCAAAATCTTTTGTTTCTATATACGGTTTCTGTTTCACACGATTCAGATCTTCATGAAGCCCATCAAGCAAAAACGCAAGGAGTTCCTGAAAACAAGGTGCAAATCATTCTTCTAAACAGTATAACCATTATTTGTTGACTTTTTATTATAGGAACCAAGCTCATCGGCAGCAAAAATTGGAGAAGATACTCTAAGAATAGAATGTATCCATAAAGTTATGCTCTCAACCACTGCACAATACAGTTTCTTCTGCTATACATGTGATATCATCACAAAAGGCACATAAAACTATATTACTTCAGATGGCCACAATACAGTTTCTTCTGCTATACATGTGATATCATCACAAAAGGCACATAAAACTATATTACTTCAGATGGCCAAAAAGACAGTAATTCATTAAACATTTGGGGAAAGGAACCAGAAAACACTGGACTTAAGAAACGTAATGTATATAATCTATATGTTTTGTGATTTGATCTTACAGATACCGCATTTAATTCTATTCAGACAGGAACCAACCTGAGAATCATGCTGGCTATACCCACTAAACTGCGGAGCAAATCGAGCAAGCTTCCCCTTAAACACACGAGGGTCAACTGGTGCTCCACCAGAAGACCAGAGTTTCCGCAACAGATATCCAAAGGCAAGAGCAAGTTCCCCCTAATAATAATAATAATAATAATAATAATAATAATAATATCTTCCATAATGAAATCTTGCACAACTGGTAGAACAGAGAACCTACATGCATTCCCAAAGGGTTCTGTTCGTTGATCTCATCAGAGTAATCTTGCAAGAAGTAATCAGCCAGGTTTGGTGTATGAACTAAACACTGAAGAGCACTATTCATGAAGCAAGTGTTCCCCAAATTTGGCAATCCTGCCAAACCTCCCCTAACTCCCCTCGTTACAGGCTTTAAATCATCATATCCAATTTCCATATCTCCGTAAGTGGAAGTAGATGTACTTGTTTGGTATAAGCTGGAGCTACAAGCGGTTGAATTACCATTAGACATAGTATGGCCACCAGCAATCGAAAAAGGTAATCTTATAGATTCCACTGGAACCAAAGCTAAGCCATTGCCGGTTGAATCCATGCCAAGATCATCGGTTGAATTACCATTAGACATAGTAGGGCCACCAGCAATCGAAAAAGGTAATCTTATAGGTTCCACTGGAACCAAAGCTAAACCATTGCCGGTTGAATCCATGCCAAGATCATTGTTTGAATTACCACTAGACATAGTAGGGCCACCAGCAATCGAAAAAGGAAATCTTATAGGTTCCACTGGAACCAAAGCTAAGCCATTGCCGGTTGAATCCATGAAAAGATCATCTGCGGGCACCTCAAGAAGAATCTATAAAAACAAGAAGTAGTATTCAGATCTCAAGGCAACATGCTATCCACATACAGAAATTAATAGTCGCAACAAATGAACGACAATGTGAAGTGACATCTGATCATGTTGCCTTGAGAATTATTTAAAGCACAAATTACGTACACAAACATTACCATGTTGTTTTAACCATCACATAAGGATAATCTGCAGGCTTTATCAAGATTTTTTTTTTTTTTTTGGTCGTTAAAGAAATTAGAGAAGTAATCCAAACAACTTTAATGAAATGAACAGAAAGTGGACTGGGACACAATCTCAAGAATTTTCATAGATCACGAGAGGGAATATCTCATTAAAACTTAAGAGGATAGAGTCTTATTTTGGTCCCTTAATTGAGTCAATTATTTGGGAAAATACAAATATGGGTGATCAGCTTATTGTAATGCACTCTCCATCAACAATATTCTGCTAAATTTTGTAACTTCAAGATCCAAATACTGCCCAGAAGATAATTAGCAAATTTACATTTATAAATTTAGATATAATTGAGGTGTCTTGTCAGAAATGAATTAAAAAGTTAAATACAATTAAATAATTCACAGTGAACAATACAGCAGCAGAATAATTTCCCAAAGCAGACATTAGTTAGAGAACCCTAAAAAATAACAGGATTATTAAAGACAAAAGTATCTCTCCCAACAACACCAAGCAGATCAACCTACATTTTGATCCATCACCAAATTAGACTCCTGCAGAGTTTGGCTAGACGACATTAATATAGTTCGCTTCTCCTTATTAAAGTAGTCCCAGATGCATGCCTGCATAATTTGGAAAGAGATGATAAATACAACAATAAACTTCTCAACATGATCCCTAGACAGGTAATAATGATATAATCTGTCCATTACCACACCTTTTCGGTTTGCAAGCCTTTAAGCTGACAAACTTTCACATAGAGGTCGTGTATGGAAGCCTGAAACACAAAATCAGATAGTGTGTCTCTGTGTTTAGATATATAATACAAGCCGATACTTCACCTAGAACCAAACAAGGAGAATTAGACAAATAGTGCACGATTGTTTTAGTCCACATACCAGGTTGATATGTATGTATGGTTTGCATAGACATGAATGTGAAATTAGCGTGAATAAAGAAAACTTATTGCACTTCACAAACTCTAGTCTCAACAGTGAAAAAGTATCACAATGCATGCATAGTTAATAATAATATGTAGATTTAACAAAAGCAAGAATACAAAAGAACTCCAGCCTCAACATGAAGCATGACGAGTTATAATATAAAATTAATAAATGTAATATGCACAACTACAAAAATATATAATATAGCATATAAAGGGAAAACACGCAATACATATACAAATAACATAGGATGGAAAAGGCATAGCAAACATCATATCTTCATTCGATATCATCCAAACAAAAGGAACTAATAACAAACAAATCAAGTAATTATACCTTTCTACTAAGTCTTATAATTACTTCACTCAGATCTCTAGAGTCAGTTAGCTGGAGAGAAAGGGGGAAGACCTCCACAACAAATTGTTTCTGTTGATCCCCAACAGATATCATCTTCCGTGGCAATGCTGGACCTCCTTTATACCTGAGGACCAGGTAATACAAAGTTCAAAAACGTAATAAGTGAATCAGTGATAAGGACCAGAGTTGTTGGGTATGTAAATACCCAACAACCTCAGTTATTTAAAGGACCAGAGTGCCGATTTTTTATGTTGCACAAGCAAGCAAAAGTGGTATCAAGTAATCGCCCAAGCAAACGATGAAAGAGTCAACAGAAACTTGTTCATGGCCCCAACAATAACATGCAGTATCACCACTGAAATATTTCGCTTTTGTCTTGATAATGGACAAATGCACTAGACTTAGAATCCACAGTTCATTTAACCATTAAATTATGCTGTCGGTATCGGCATCACAATTTATTTAATATTAACATTTAATTTTAAAAATAGAATAAGACTAAATAAATGNGAAGAGCTTTATGCCATAGAATATTACCATTTCAAAAGCTTCTCCCAAACTTCTTGTGGAACTAAAACATAATCGTGCAATTCCATCAGAGTTCTGAAAAGCTGTGGGGCATCATCATCATAGTCCAATCCACCATCAATTATACCACTGTTGTCAATAACTCCTGGCCTATCTTCCAATATTAGAGATCGAGATATAATAGAATGATCTTCAAATGGATAAGCACCTTCCTTTAGCCCAGTGTACCTCTGCCATTCTCTGTACCACCTAAAAAAGTCGCAAAGCAACATGATCATTTGATGTCTGGATATTGGAAAATATTTTTTTTGCAATGGACTGTTTAAGTCCTAAGTTCAACTTTCAACCATACAGAAACAGGATTGAATTTCCAATATGCAGTACTACGAATCGATCAACAACAATAAATCTAGAGCATATATGCTACTTCATTAAATCTAGAGAGCATATTCTCGATTGTCCAATAACTAGGTTTAATAGTAGCATGTTTCTGTTGAATAAACTATAACGGAAATTTGGAACGTGACTAGAATTTTTGTCAATTTATTAGTTTCGCTTTTATTCTCTTTATTTTGATTTTATTATATTTTGGTTGATTGGTTATAAACTTGACTAGTAAAAAACCAATCAAAACTCAAATTTAACTCAACTTTAATCCAACCCACTATACTCAAATTTTAACAATATAATTAAATAATATTAACCATTCATTCTTACACATCACATCCAATCATTTTTCTCCTACTTTTACATAAAATCAACTTTAATTATTTTATTTTATAATAATATTAGAAACAACTAACCATACAATATTTTTCAAAATTAACTATAGTTAAAAAAAAAAACCAATCAAATCCATATCCAATCACACCCTTAGGATTATATTTAGTTTATTTATTAAATAACCAACCACCCCTTTTATTATTTTTGTTATTTTAATTAATAAGAAATAATCAAAACTAAATTCACACTACTCGTGGGATCGACCTTTGTTTGCCGCTACTACTAGTTATGCTAATAGTTAGTGGAAGTTAGTATGTAAGATATATTTATTCATAATAGTAATATCTTAGCCTGACATAAAGGAAGCACACATGCTCTTGTCCTTCAAAGAATGACTCCAAAATTAACAAAATGAACATAACACCTCTACTTTGATATTTTTAATATTAATTTTAAACATGTTTTGTAGTTTTCTATTCGATTGCAAAGGAATAATGGTCTCAATCCAGTCGATCACCCATTCTCAAAGGCTCACGATTACAAATTTTACAATAGCCACCAAGAAGTTTTANTAAAAAAAAAAAAAAAATAGTAAGCAGCCCATTCAACTCGAGAGCCAGCATATTGCCGTATAACAATCAAGATTGGGGCAGAACATATCCAATTCATTAAAATCTCCTTCATGACAAAATCACAATCAAAACTTCCAAACATATCTATCAGCAACAGAAATTATAATATCCATCTCCTTTCATCAACTTAAACAAAATGGAAACGCCATAACAACAAAGATAATGGAGGAAACAAGGGTTTAACAGCAATTAATAATCAACTACCCAAAAACAACCAAACAAAAAAATCAAGTTTACCTGCTACAAACGACGAAGTACAAGTTCCCCTCCCGCTTATTAGACTCATCTTTGACAGTCAATTCCTGAACAATCCTCCTCTCCTCTTCCGGCATGCAAGGCAGTTCTATCGACCCATTCTCCATCATGTAGCTATACGCCGACGAATCTGGAATCGTCATGACCTGCGCTGCGATAAATCCAAATACCAAGCAAACCCTCAATCATCAAATCGGTCCGAAAAAATGCGGAACCCTAGATTGGATGAAGTTCTGGATTTCGATCGAAAAATATGGGAGAAAATATAGTCGAAAATCGAGGAGAGTTCAGTCGGCAACAACTCTCGAGTGTTCAAATGGCGAATGCTGTCTATATATAAGCGCACTCGAATTCTGTCTATTCAAATTCTGGTTTTTTAATTCGTTATTATTTATTTTTGTAACAACAATAAATATGGCTAGGGGTAAAATTTTGGAAACGTTATAAATTTGAGTTATATTTTAATATTTGTAAAATTCGAGATTTAAAAAAAATACCTGGATTTTTTTAGATATCTCAATGTGTATTATTATAGAATTTCAAAATTTTCATTTATTTATTATTTTTTACTTTTTAGCACTTTTATAATATATACTTTTATAAATTGTAATAATAAACAAAACTACAAAAGAGTCGTATGTCGAACAAAAATACAAATTATAAAGATAAATCAACTGGTGTCAAACTTGCTTTGTGAATTATAAGATTATAAAGAAAAGTCAAAACATTTATATCATAAATTACAAAAAAAAAAATAATTTATTTTGACGTAATTAAAAATTAGTAAATATTATAACTTTCAAATAATATACACAACATTGCATTTAAATAAAGTGTGTATGTTGATAATATGTGTCATAATTTTTTAATTTTACCATCACTTATGAATCGAAATAATATATTGTACTAAGGTTTGAGTGAGTAAAGAGAAGCATTTTTGTAGTTATTATTTATTGATAATATTTTAATATGTTAAATTTTCACGTTCCTTAATTTTAATAGGACTAATAAATCTATAAGTATATAAATACCCATATAAATTATATATGGAAATGGAATTATTATATATCATAATAATAAAATAAAAAATAATTATTCAAACGTATTTTTATACTAATCAATATTACTTTATTTATATCATTTATCATTATTATCCGATGCACTGACCACATACTAATTGAAAACTAAACACAAAGTAATAATAGCAATTATGGCAATTACTAGAAAATAAGAATAAAAGACGTGAGCATAAACGAGCCAAAAATGGAACTCGAACTCAGCTCATTTATCGATATTAATAAACTCATGGTCGGACCATTTATTAATATTAACGAGTCAAGTTCGAGCCTCAACGAGCTGAACTATAAAATCTCGTATTGTTAGCGAATCAAGCTTTAAACAATGGAGTCGAGCTCATGAGCGACTCATTAGCACTTCCCATATAAAATCATATCTAATTTGACCTTATTATATATCTAAAAAGTGAACCCAACAACTACTATACTATATAGTATATAGTCAAGAACCGGAATTCCTCTTCAAATCATAGTATTTCAGTCGAGCTACCACTTTCCTCTCCTTCCAGTCGAACTAATTTCAAATCATAGTATTTCAGTCGAGCTTCTCCGCTATTACCTCCACAAGAAAATCGCCTGCGAATAAATGGACCTCGACATCATCGTGACGTGGACCTCAACAAACTCGAGCGGATATTCAAGGTAATTAATCTATTAACCAATCTTTCGAAACTTTGCACCACAATGATTTTTTATTTTTATTTTTTCCCCTCAAGTTCATGTTGATTTTAAGGGATGATGAAGTTAATATTAGAGCTCTTGGCTGCAGAGAAACTCATCCTCTCTTACCACTCTCTGTTATTTTTTATTTTATTTTTTTCCTCTGTTTCTGTTTTTTACCTCTCAAAAGATCTGCAGCTTCATGTCTCCATACAACAACCGGGCCGAACGAGAATTTGGGCCTCTGGGCCCGAGGCCATGGATTGGGCCGCTCTCAACTGCCTGGAAAGCTAGTCAGCTAAACGAGCTTTCCTGATTCCAAGAAGTTTTGCAGCTTCGGGTCGGAGAACAAATTTTGCGTGTTTTTCGCTATGATGATCATGCTCTATCACTTGTCTGTATAATTAGTTACATATATTTATTTACTTATTTATGCATGCATGTATAAGTCAAGGTAATATGCTGATACAGCCTATTTATAATCCACCTATTTAAACATAAATTATCTGGTACAATCTTGAGAGAAATTCAACATACACCCAGCTTTCAATAAACTAATTGAATCATTTTCTTTCCTAAAACATTCAAATTAGAAGTTTTTACAACCTCTAATTCATTATCAAGCCTCTAAATTTGGTTTCAAATATTTGCTTGGCATGCAAGATATCAAATCATCATGCTTTCTTTTCTTTAAATAAAAAAAAAAAAAAAAAACTTCTCACCCTTTTTCCTTTTTCTTTTTCTTTTTTTTCTTCAAGAAGCTAAAGTGGTTGCTTCACAGCCATCATGAACACAAGCCAACACATCTCTGTAGTCCCTAGAGACAGTAAAAGAGTCGTAAACTTTTCCATCACGACTCTTTTTGTACTCGAAGGAAAGATACGAATGGTTGAATGCCGTGAGCTTCACGAAACCCCAGTCGTAATCCCTGTAGAGGCTCCAGCTGGCGCTGACGGGGCTGAACTCCGACAAGTGGGACCCACCTCCTCCCACCACCACGTGTATTGTCCCGTTCACAGTCCCCGAGTAGCGAGATTTTTCCGAGTTGACACATTTGTTCTGCACCGAACCAAAAAAAAAACAATGTGTTAAAAAATGAATGAAACAGAGGTACATGATGTGAACCCGACTCCATTACGGTTGTGCTACAAAATCTTCTGCTCGAACATGAAGTGATGTTGATTTAAGGATAAAGATTAAAAGCTGCGAAAGATTGGGTATGTTTGGTAAACCTAGCTGATAAGGTAGCTTATAGCTTATGTGACTGATAGCTTACCAATACTAAGTCTAAATGAAAATTTTTTATCAATACTGATAGCTTATGACTATTGAACTGATAAAAGGTAGCTTATATGACAAAAGTGTTAGGTAAAATTAGTGATGTAGGACGTGAATGACGAAAGGGAATAAAGAGATCACTCTCTTGATAAAAACACGCAAGAACAGATTTATTTCTCTAAAAAACATTCACTCCATCGTTTCCTTCAACCATGAGAATAAATAGAGTTCTAAGTCTCCTAAATCTCCTAATTTGATAAACAAGAAATAAATATTCTCCTAATCAAAATAAAGATTCTCCTAACCAACTCAATAAAATAAATAAGGAATAATAATAATAATAATAATAATAATAATAATAATAAATTAGCTGATAAGCTAACTAAAATAACAATTTTAGCGAGCTTATTTGAAAAGCTATCCAAAGAAGCTTATGAGATAAGCTTGAGCTTTTTAAAAAAGTTCGCCCTACCAAACCAAGTTTAATTGAATACAAGAAGCTTTATAAGCTAATCAAATAAGCTAATAGGCTAGCTTATATGCTTACTAAACATAGCCTAAGAGTAATGTTGAAAAGTCGAAGTAGACAGAAATCGGAAGCACGTCAAGTTCACAACAAATCTTGATTA